AAGAGGCTCCCAGGAGGCCCCAGAAAGCTCCCAGGTGCCTCCGAACGGCCTCTCAAACGATCCCAAAAGGCCTCTCAAACGGCACCTCCTCCTTCTCGCCTCCTCCACCTAGCACCCTAAAGCTCTGCAATCCCCGCCCAAAGCCCCCGCAATGCCACGCAAGATCCTGGCGGATGTGCGCGGCAGCGCCATGGAACAAAATCACATTTGATTTCAGAGCCTTGCTCAGGAAAGCGCTCTGCCAACAACGCTTGATCGGCATCGGCAGCAGCATCATCAGCAGCACATCGGTCAAACAGCATCATCGTCATCGTTGTCGTCATCATTGCAGCTTCCTCGTCCTGATCCTCCTCCTCCTCGTCATGATCATCGTCTTCGTTTCTGGAACCATCGTCGTCGCCATCGTCATCGTCATGTGTTAATGTTCGTCCTCCTCCTTCTGCGCGTCATCCTCTTCCTCCTCCTACTTTTTCTCCTCCTCCTCCTCCTCCTCCTCCTCCTCCTTCTCCTCCTCCTCCTCCTCCTCCTCCTCCTCCTCCTCCTCCTCCTCCTCGTACTGGCCGCAAGTATTTTTCCGGGGCTTCCCCTCGAGTGTAGATCGCCACAGTGCGGCAGGTGCCTCCTCTGAGGTCCCAGTCGCTACGATACAGCGTTTCGCCCACGCCCCCGAGCTCTCTCGGAGGACGAGACGGAGACAGGAGGAGGCACCCAGAGGTTCCAGAACCTTCAGTAAGCTCCAACATGGAGGAACACCCAGACATCCGCGCGCTCCAATCTGTTCGACAGGGGGTCCCCGGAGGTCGACCACTTCCCCGGGGCCGTTTTTTCGTCCTGGGCAGATTTGTGACGGTCCCGGAGCCCGTTGAAGGCTCCCGGAGGCCGAAACTGGCTAAAAACCTCCCGCTCCGATTTTTTCGGAGCGTCAGATCTCTGAGGACTCTCCAGAACGGAGGAAGGGAACTTCCAGAACGGAGGTCGAGCCCTCATTTTTGAGGTTTCGGAGCAACGCCTCAAAAAAAACATGCGCCGACCCCTGCAGCTCCGCACTGCCGACGACCTCTCGCCCAATCGACCGCGGTGCCTCATCATGGGCCGGCGGAATGAGCGAAACGATTAATAAATCGGCAGCAAGTCCCAAGCGAGAGCGCGATTCTTGAATAAAATGCGAGGACGTCTCGGGCGGGAGCTGGGGTCCTGGCTAAATTGTGAGGAAGTCTCAGGCGGGAGCCGTTGTTGTTGTAACCGGGGGGCCAGGGGGCCAGTTTGAGCAGGAAGACTTTCCTTGACAAAAAATAAAGTGCGAGCCCCGGGGGGGCACTTCAATTGAAAAAAACAATGTGCACCGGTGGGGGGGATCAACAATAATTATTCTTCAAGAGTGAGAGTTCAACAACAACAACAACAACAACAACAACAACAACAACAACAACAACAACAACAATTACTAGCACGTGGGGACACACCGTTCTCACCAGTGCCAGGGTTTTCATAGGAGGCGGGCAATACCCCCACTTTGTGGGGGGGCCGGTTCAAGCTCTACCAAATTTCCAAACGACTCTTCGCCACCACCCACAACCAGCTTCCCGCCCTATGACGTTCGGACACTTCACTTCGTGGCATGCGGACGACCGTGGCTACTATTCAGGGCCCCGCGGCCGACGAAGACGGCGTGCGCGCGCGAAGAAAAAACGAATGTGTCCCGCAGGGTATTATTTGACAGGGATGATGGCCCTGGCAGGTGCGCAACCGTTGTCGCAGAAGTTCGAAAAAGTTGCTCGCAAAAAGCCCGTTTGACAGAAATGTTGAAAAAGTGTTGGTTTCCCTACGAATCCGCAAGAGCGCGCGGGATGAGATTTTGACATTTTTTGTTGAAAAACCATTGGTTTTTTGATGTTTTTATGTTAAAATCGCTCCGAACACTAAGCTTTTGGAAGGATTTCGTCTTGCGCGCGCGAATGTCCACTTTACCTTATTTTTTGCAAGGGATTCTTGAAATTTGATATATTAGAACAAGAAATGTCATTTTCTATTGTTGTTTTGCAAGGGAAAGCGGATTACAACAAAACAACCGGATCCTGTACACACCCTCTTTTCTGAGGCTTCCTCACGAAAATGATGAAAATGTAGCTGCGGCCCAGGCGGCGCAGGGGGGGCGCGCACCAGGGGGCCCAACAATAATTATTTCTTAGAATAAATAATGTTCAACACAACGACAACGACAACGACAACGACAACGACAACAACAACAACAATAACAATAACAATAACAATAACAAGAGATGGAGAACGGAGGAAGAAAGGAAGAAGGGAAGGAGGAGGGAGGGGGGAGGGCCCCAGCTCCTCCTGCTCCTGCCCATTCCTCCTCCTCTTTCCTCCTCCTCCTCCTCCTCTCCTTCCCCTCCTGCTCTCCTGCTCCTCCTGCTTTCCTCCTCCTCCACCTCCTCCTCCTCCTCGGCCTCCTGCTCCTCGCGTCTCTACATCTCACTCAGATGCCTCCCGCGCTCATCCCCCCTTCTCTCCTCCTCCCCCTCCTCCTCCCTCCTCCTCTCTCCTCCTCCTCCTCCGCCCTTCCTCCGTCCGCCTGCCTCCGCCTCCTCCTCCTCTTATTATTATTCGTATGAATATTAGTATTCGTATTAGCCTTCTGCTTCTTAGTCTTCTTAGCATTCGTATTAGTCTTAGTACTGTTATTAGTCTTCTTTATCTAATTAATTTTTCTTAGTACTCATATCAGTCTCTTCTCCTTCGTCTTATTAATACTATTATCATTCGTATCCTCCTCCTTCTCCTTCTCCTTCTCCTTCTCCTTCTCATTCATCGTGTTCTTCGTATTAGTATTCATATCAGTAATATTATTATTAGTAGTAGTATTATTAATAAAATTATCATTATTATGGTTGTTATTAGTATCATTATTATTATTAATATTACTATTAATATGATTATTATTATTATTCGTCCTCCTCATCCTCCTCCTCCTCCGCCTCCGCCTCCTCCCCCTCCTCCTCCTCCTCCTCCTCCTCCTCCTTCTCCTCCTCCTCCTCCGCCGCCTCCGCCTCCACCTCCGCCTCCGCCATCCGCATCCGCTCCTCCTCCTCTCCTCCTCCTCTTCCTCATCCTCCTTCCCCTCCCACCTCCACCTCCTCCTCCTCCTCCTCCTCCTCCGCCTCCTCCTCAACTCCGCCTCAGCTCCTCCTCTCCTCATCCCCTACCGCCTCAGCCTCACGGCTCCGCCTCCTCCTCCTCCTCCTCCGCCTCCTTCTCCTCGTCTCCTGCTCCTCTTCCTCCTTGTTCCTCTTTTCGCGCCATTTCCTCCTTTTCTCCCTCCTCCTCACTCCTCTCCTCCTCATCTCCTCCTCCTCCTCCGCCTTCCTCCCCTCGCTCCTCCCATACCTCCGACCCTCTCATTCATCATCATCATCATCCTCATCCCTCCTCCTCCTCCACCTCCCTGCTCCTCCTCCTCCTCCTCCTCCTCTTCCTGCTCCTTTTATCCCCCCTCCCCCTTCACCCTCCTCCTCCTCCTCCTCCCTCCGCCTCTCCTCCTCCTCCTCGTACTCCTCCTACTCCTCCTCATCCTTCTCCTCTTCCCTCGTCCTCCTGCTCCTCCTCCTCCTCCTCCTCTCTCCTCCTCTTCCTCCTCCTCCTCCTCCTCCCCTCCTCCGCCTCCTCCTTCAAACCTCCTGCTCCCTCCTGCTCCTCCCTCCTCCTCCTCCTCCTCCTCCTCCTCCTTCCTCCTCCTACTCCTCCTCCTCCTCCCCTCCTGCCTCCTGCTCCTCCTCCTCCTCCTCTCTCCTCCGCCTCCCTCCTCCTGCTCCTCCTGCCTCCTCCCCACCTCCTCCTTCTCCTCCTCTCCTCCCCGCCTCTCCTCCTCCTCCTCCTCCTCCTCCTCCTCCGCCTCCTCCTCCACTCCTCCTGCCTCCTCCTCCCTCCTCCTCCTCCCTCCTCCTCCTCCTCCTCCTCCTCCTCCTCCTCCTCCTCCTCCTCCTCCTCCTCCTCCTCCTCCTTGTTTCCCCCCGTCCCCCCTCGTCCCCGTCCCTTTCCACGCTCCTGGGCCCCCTCCGCCCGCCCACCCCCCAGCGCGGCTGGCAGGCCTCCTCTGCCCCCCTCGCGGCGTGGTCGTGCCAGGCGGCCTCCAGCTCCCACGCCTGTGCCCGGCGCCGTCAGCGTCGCCCTCGACGTCAGAGTCGTCGACGACGTCCCCGTCGCTGCCGTCCCTGAGGCCGCCGTCGTCAGCGTAGTCGGCGGCGGCATCGGCATCGGCATCGGCGTCAGCGTCAGCGTCGCATCAGCGTCGGCGTCGGCGTCGGCGTCGGCATCGGCATCGGCATCGGCGTCAGCGTCAGCGTCAGCGTCGCGTCGGCGTCGGCGTCGGCATCCGCATCGGCATCGGCGCCGGCGTCGGAGTCGGCGTCGGCACCGGCGTCGGCGTCGGCGTCGGCGTCGGCGTCGGCGTCGGCGTCGTCGTCGTCGTTGTCGTCGTCGGCGTCGGCCTCGGCGTCGTCTTCGTCGTCTTCGTCGTCCTCGTCGTCGTCCTCGTCGTCGTCGTCGAAGTCGGCAATGTCGTTCTCGGCGGCGTGAGCGTCGACACTGCCGTCCTTGTTCCTTCTGCCCTCTCCGTATCGCCCACCCTCCGCCGCCTTCGTCCTCCTGCTCAATCCTGATGCCCCCCTCTCCCTCCGCATTATCCTCGCTCCCCCATCCCTCATCCTTCCATATCGCCATCCATCCTTCTCCCTCCCTCCCTCCTCCTTCCTGCCTCCCCCCTTCACAGTTGCCAAGCATGAGTACTACCATTGCCCCCGCAGTTGTGGAAAGAGTGAGGGGGCGGCGGTGTGGCCGTTAGTCTGCGAGGGTCTGATCAAGCCCACCGCAGGCGCCGATTGTGTCGCGCGGGCGCGGGCGGGTCGCGGGCGGATCGCGGGTGGGTCGCGAGCGGGTCGTGGGCGAGGACAACGACAGACAACAAACAACAGACACCAGACAACAACAAGAATCGTCACCGCGGAAGCCACTTCTAACCAGCATCGAGCGTATCCCTATTGCTAAGATTGACAAGCCTAAGGCGATGACACTCTGAGGGATGCGCCCTCAGAAACCCCACATCGCCATCGAGATAAGGCGATGCCAAGCACGCGGATGAGGTATCATATTAACAAAACCCAGAAAATAACCTTTTGACGGTCCGCGCGGATTTCTTGGATCTGAGCTGGGCCCCCCCTACCTGGCGCGCGGACCGCGCCAGAGGCGGCGCCGGAGGCGCCGCCAGGGGGCTGCAGCGCAGATCCAAGAAATCCGAGTGGACCGCCAAAATGTCATGTTTATGCCGTTCTTTGTTACACTGCGGGCGCGGCCACAAGAAACCCTCGAACAAAAACCCAACCATGAAAACCCGTGCGCGAGGTGCACCTGAGGGGAAGCCCGGAGCACCCTGAGCGAAGCAGCTTCTTCCACGGCTGAGGGAAGTCACCGCGCAGCGTGCAGAGCGAAGAGACCCAGAATACCCAGGACGAAAAGCAGATGCCGAGTCTGGAAACCCTGAACCCAAAAGGTTGTCATCTCTTGGGAGATCGATTTTTTGCTTCCGCCTCTCACCGCCCTTCCGCCGAAAATGAAATGGCAACTCCTGCGATCCCCGAAGGCAAGAAGGCAGGGCGCCGTTTTACTTCCGCCGCCCTTCCGCCGCCTTCTGCCGAGGAAGAGATGGCAACTCCTTCGATCCTCGAAGGCAAGAAGGCGAGGCCCTTTCTGGGACGCCCCGTACAGTCATTCCGTATCATCAGGACGCACGAGAAGGATGTAAGGGCCCGGGGAGGACATTCCGAAGCTTTTCGAGCGGCGCCCAGCCAGCGAAAGTGGACAACGATGGGCCGAAGGGGCAAGGATGCAAGGGTACCCTTAGGAAGGATGCCCATCCTTACTATGCGGGCTGGCTGTACACGTCGTTCTTTTCTAATCGTGCTCATTTCTAATTGTGCTCGTTTCTAATTGTTCCTGGCCCCCTGGTGGCCAGGAAGAGGTCCAGGATAGAACAATCACAAGTGAAAGGATCTTGGCCCCCACAAAAATCAAAGAACTCTCGAAGAATTAGAAATGAACAATGTGTAACCTCAGGAAGGATGCCCATCCTTACTGTGCGAACTGGCTGTATGACTTCTCGAGACATTGCCTCGGGCATGGTAAGCTTCAGGCATGCGTCCCCGGGGACGGTGGCGGACCGCTCGGCCCCCTCCTTCTGCCTCTCCTTCGGTCGGGCATGTCTTCCTGCAGGCGGATTTGGGAACGTTCCTGTTTTAGACAAATGCTTGCTGCATGATATCTTAGAGCGAAAATCGCCACCAGACTATTTGCTACTGTTCTTGCAGATGCATCCTGTAGAGTTAAGTCGTGCCTGTCCCCCTACAGGCCGATTTTGAACGAAAAATTCAAAAATACTCGAACATACCCCAACAAATCACAAACAAACATGTCAACAAATCGTCCCCAGACCATTGTTTGACTATTTGTGAATTCCCCCCCTGTGAAGGGACAGGACAGGCCCGACTTAACTGTAGAGGGGCACGCCCGACTTTAAGCCCATCTCCCTCTCCCCCCGGACACTGCCGCGCGAGCGGGGCACGGCGCCGCTCCCGCTCCCCCTCCTGCGGTGCGCGCTCCTCTTGCGTGCCGGCCTCGCCCACAGAGTGCTGGCGACTCTGGTCTGTGCTCGATTGCGAGGCAGGGATTTGTCCAGATGCACCGCCTGGGAACCGACGTCCTGGTGCCACAGCGGGCGGCGGATATGGATATAGATATGTATATATATATATATATATATTTCTCTTTTTTTTTCGGCCCCCGGGGACCCGAATCTGTCCGTGTCCACCGCCTGCCGAGGCTCCGAAAACGGACCCCCCAGGCGGTGGTCGTGTAGAAATTCCCGCCTCGGATCGATGGCACCGCTCGGAGGGGGACTGGCACAGGGGGGGGGGGGGCGAAGCATCGACCTGGAGAGTCGGCGAGACCACGCTGATAGATCGGCGACAGGCCCCTGATGGTGGATCCGCACGTGCCTGGGCAGGTTGGGCGATTCATGGGCGATTGGGGGTCGATGCATCCCCCCCCCTCTGCCTGTCCCCCCCTTTTGTTGCCCCTGACGTCCTCGGTTGTTCAGACATGGTGTTCCCGGTGCAGCGTCGTGCATATTCCAGCATCGACGCTCTGCTCCTGTCGTTCCCTGTGGCGCGGCTCACGCGCGTACGGGCCGCACTTCTTGGATCCGAGTCCTTCCTCGTCGTGGTCGCCTCATCCGTTCAACTCCTCCGCCTCCCCCTGGTCCTCCTGCTCCTCCCGCTCCTCTTACTCCTGCTCCTGTTTCTGCTGGTGCTCCTCCTCTTCCTCCTCTTCGTTCATATCCTTCTCTTCCTCGTGCTGATCATCCTCCTTAGCATCATTAATAATAATACTAGTATTCGCATTAATGTCATTAGTAATACTATTACTAGCATTAGTAGTATTACTCTTCTTCATCATCAGCATCATCAGCATCTTCATATTCATCAGCATCAGCATCAGCACCATGAGCATCATCATCATCATCATCATCATCATCATCATCATCATCATCATCATCATCATCATCATCATCATCATCATCATCGTCATCGTCAGCATCATCATCAGCATCATGATCATCATCATCATCATCAGCAGCATCATCATCATCAGCGTCATCAACATCAGCATCATCAGCATCGTCATCAGCAGCAGCATCGGCATCATCATCATCATCATCATCATCATCATCATCATCATCATCATCATCATCATCATCATCAGCAGCAGCAGCAGCAGCAGCATCAGCATCACCAGCATCATCATCAGCAGCAGCATCAGCATCAGCATCATCCTCATCCTCATCCTCCTCCTCATCCTCATCAGAATCCCTCCTCCGCATCCCTCCTCCTCATCCCTCCCTCCCTCCCTCCCTCCCTGCCTCGCTCCCTCACTCCCTCGGTCCCTCGGTCCCTCCCTCCTCCCTCCTCCCTCCACCTCCTCCTCCTGCTCCTCCTCCTACTCCTCCTCCTCCTCCTCCTCCTCCGCCTCCTCCTCTTCCTCCTCCTCCTCCTCCTCCCTCCCTCCTCCATCCTCCCTCCTCCCTCCTCCAGCCCCCTCCTCCTCGCTACTCCTGCCTCCAGCGCCCTCCTCCTGATCATCCTTCTCGTCCAATGTACACAGCTTCCCCTTCTGCTTGCGCGCGCGACACGATGGGGTCATATTGAGCACCCGGGACCGCCAGGACACCCATCGGCGGATATACATAAATCAGCACAGTGGGGAAGGATGGGCGGGATGCGTAGAACGTCAGATATGGCGCGCACTTGGCTTGTCCTTCATCCTTGGCCTATTCATCCTCCTTCTCTCCCTCCGCATTCCCCGCGTCCTCCTCTCGAGCCCCTCATCCTCTTCCTCCCTCCCACCCCCCCTCCCGCCCTCATCCTCTCCTCTCCCTCCCCCCCAAAAAACAACTCCCCCTCCCGAGCGCCGGCCACGGCGCCAGAACGACCCAGCCGACCCCCATGGCGCCAACGACGGCGACGACGACGACGACGGACGACGACGGACGAATACGACGACGACGACGACGACGACGACGACGACGACAGATGACGGACGACGGGCGACGGCGACGATGACGACGACGACGACGACGACGACGGCGACGGCGGCGGCGGCGGCGGCGGCGGCGACGGCGACGGCGACGGCGACGGCGACGGCGACGGCGACGGCGGCAGCGGCGGCGGCGGCGGTTGCGGCGACGGCGAGTGGCGCCAGCGAAGCCTGCCGCTGCCGCAGCGGTGCGGGGAACCGCTGGAGCACCCGCGCAACCCAGCGCAGCTGCTCCTCTCGGAGGGAGGGACTGGGGAGGAACTGGCAGGAGAAAGATGCCAGAAGCTGGAAGTAGGAGGCAAGAGAAGGAGGGACGATGGGGGGGGGAAAAAGAGACAGGAGAAAGAGGCTGGACGAGAGGAGGAGGAAGGAGGGAGGGAAGGAGGGAGGGAGGGAAGGAGGGAGGGAAGGATAGAGGGAGGGAGAGAGGAGGAGGAGGAGGAGGAGGAAGAGGAGGAGAAGGAGGAGGAGGAGGAGGAGCAGGAGGAGAAGGATGAGGAGGACGAGGAGGAGGAGCATGAGCCCGAGGTGAGGAGGGGGGAGCGAGCGAGCGAGCGGAAGCCGAGAGGCAGCAGAACCCAGAGGCGGGCGAGAGGCAAGCGAGCACCTCATCCCCCCCCCGTCCAGTACCTCCACGGTGGAGCCCGAAGGCCAAGACCGCCCTGCAAGCGCCAGGGAGGGGAGCGAGGCACCCGCCTGCCTCCAAGCGGGCGGCCCGCGGCGCGGCCGGGGAGCACGGGCCTGCGGCGGGCCCTGTGCTCACCAGCACGGGGCCCACCGAGGCGACGAGGTGCTCCAGGCCCGCAAAAGCGCCGACGGTAGCGCAGTTCGATGATCCGCCAGGGACCCGCGAGGTCTCAACGCGGTCCGTTTACGACTCCACTCCGCTGGACCTCCCTGGAATCCACGAACGCGGCGACAATTGCGCAGTTCGCAGACCCCCTAAGACCAGCGAGGTCTCAGCGCGGTCAGCTTTCAACTTCACTCCGCTAGACCTCCCAGAAGCCACGAAAGTGGCGACAATTGCGCAGCTCGCGGCCACAGGGAGCCGCGAGGTGGAAGACGAAGAGGAAAGCAGAAAGCCAGGTCGAGGAGGTGGATCAGGACGCAGTTCGAAACCCCCGAGGCAAGGCGACCAGGAATAAAGAGGAACGAGAGCAGGAAGTGGACAGGAAGAGGAAGAGGAAAAGGCAGAAGGAGGATGAAGAGGCAAAGGGAGGAGTGAATAAAGCAGAGACAGCAGGAGGATGAGAGGAAGGTTTGGAGACCAGTGCTGGATTCAAAACGAGAAGCCATAAGCATGACTAATATTACTGGTATTATTCATGGGGTTCGGTGTCATCTTCCTCCTTATCACCCTAAAGACAAGCGATGTTTATGTGTTCGATGTATTGCAACGTCTGAGAGCTGGTGTGGCGATTGCCATAGCGGCGAGCAGGATGGCAACAGGAACAACACCGTGCTGGCGATGATGAGGATGACGGAAGGGATGTCAGCGGCGCAGATATCGTTACGGAGATATTCAACGAAACAGGACAGTCACCTGTACGCGGCGGGGAACGCCCGGGACCTATGAAGAGCGCAAGCAATCCGGCGGGGACTTCAACATATACCTATCGGTCCGTCAGGAAGCCTCGAGCGAGAATCCCGGTTCCGATATCGGTGCAGAGAACGACGCAACAAGAAAGCAGCGTAAGCCGCGGAAACCGTCGGAGCCCTTAGGGACACCGCCACCGCGTCGGAAAACACTCGTTTTGGAAGATGGCCTACGCAAGATCTGCATGTTTGACAACACCTGGCACCAATTTAGATTACTCGGCGGCGAGCCCTGGGGGGAAGTGAGCAGGGGCGGGCCTTTTCAGAAGGCTCGGAAGTCCCCCCGGCCGTCTGAGAAGTTTGTTTTCTAGGGGCCTTCTGCGAAGCCCCGCAGGGCCTTCTCGTTCTCACCCCGCCGCCCGAGAGCCCGCGACTCCGCCCGTCAGGCCCGCCCGGCATATACCATTTGGTCGGGCATGTTCTCCTACAGCCGGAACTTGGGCGAAGCATGAAAAATAGTCCAAGCATTGCAAAGGCTGGAGGGGGTCCCAGAGGGGTCCCGGGTCAGAATACCATCTCCCTCCTCCTTGGGGTCCCTGGGGAAGCCCGGGGGGGGTCCTGGGGGGGGGTCAGGGGGGGGTCCTGGGAGGGGGTCCCCGGTGAGTCCTGGGGGGTCCCGGGTCAGAATACCACCTCCCTACTCCTCCTCCTCCTGAGCGTCTTTTGCCACCTTCTCCATCTCCTTTTCGTTTGTCTCCGGGGGAAGCCCGGGGGGGTCCCGGGGGAGGGGTCCCGGGTCAGAATACCACCTCCCTCCTCCTTGGGGGTCCCGGGGGAAGCCCCGGGGGGGGTCCAGGGAAGGGTCCTGGGAAGGGGGTCCCCGGGGGGTCCTGGGAGGGGTCCCATGCAGGTCAGAATACCACCTCCCTCCTTCTCCTCCTGAGCGTCTTTTGCCACCTTACCATCTCCTTTTCGCTTGTCTCCCCCTCCTCCTCCTCCTCCTCCTCCTCCTCCTCCTCCTCCTCCTCCTCCTCCTCCTCCTCCTCCTCCTCCTCCTCCTCCTCCTCCTCCTCCTCCTCCTCCTCCGCTCCTCCTCCTCCTCCTCCTCCTCCTCCTCCTCCTCCTCCTCCTTCCTCCTCCTCCTCCTCCTCCTCCTCCTCCTCCTCCTCCTCCTCCTCCTCCTCCTCCTCCTCCTCCTCCTCCTCCTCCTCCTCCTCCTCCTCCTCCTCCTCCTCCTCCTCCTCACACACACTTCCTCCACCTACCCTGTCACGTTGTCCTTTAGCTCCTTCCTGTGACACATCCCGTCGCCATCGACGGCCAATACCTTCAGGGTCGGCGGCAGCGGCCGTAAGGCCTTCACAATAGTCCAAGCATTGCAAAGGGAGAGGCAAACATGGTCAAAAAATCGTCTCCAGACTGTTCCTGAACTATGTTTGAGTAGATCCTCCTGTGGAGGGACATGCCCGACCGAAATGTAGAATTTTCGGGGGAGCGGCTCGCCCGCGCCATCTCGCCGTCGCCGTCGACCGCCGCCTGCCGCCCGCTGCCGCCCGCTGCCGTCATCTCCGCCGCCGCCCTCGCCGCTGGCACCCGTGGTGCCCGAGCCCGGACAGCGTGGCGACGGAAGCTTCGTGAAGGTCTCAGGCCGAACTGCCCCCCCCAAAACCTGCACGCGAATGCGGCTTCCCTTTACGATCTGAGAGATGCGAATCGAGCGCGCCATTCCACGACGAAACACCGGGAGGGGGCACAATGCCCGCTTCTGCACCGACGCGAATGCGAAGACGGCGAAGACGACGACGACGACGACGGCGACGACGACGACGACGACGACGACAAAGACGACAACGACGACGACGAAGACGGCGTCGACAACAACAGCGACAATGACGTCGACAACGACGACAGGACCTTCAAGGTCCTTCGAAGGAGCTCTGGAAGCTCTGGGAAGGAGCTTCTGGAAAGCTTGACGGCACACGTATCGGGCAGCAGTGAGAAAAGGCAGTCCAGGACACGCGGCAAATTCACAGGAGGTGCTGCGAGGATTCCTACCTGAAGCTAAAACGAACTCCAGTGTCCACCACCATCCTCGTTACTAACATCAACCTCGAATAATCGCCAGCAACACCAACGCCGCGCTTATTGCTGTCGCCACCGTCGCCCTTGCCCTCCGTATGTTCGTCGCCATGTCGTCGTCGTCATCGTCTTCGCCGCGGTCTTCGTCGCCGTCGAGCATGATCGAGCCATGAAACTGCCTGCTAAGGCCAGAAAAAACACGGGTCGCCCAGCCTGCTGTGTTTGCGTGTATAGCGGAGGGCCCAGCGAAAATCCGCCGACCCTGTCGGCGTGTGTCAGGCGCTTTCCCGTTCGAGTCGTCGTCGTCGTCGTCGTCGTCGTCGTCGTCGTCGTCGTCGTCGTCGTCGTCGTCGTCGTCGTCGTCGTCGTCGTCGTCGTCGTCGTCGTCGTCGTCAATGTCGTCGTCAGCGTCGTCGTCGTCATCCCCGTCGCCGTCGTCGTCGTCGTCGTCGTCGTCGTCGTCAGTGCCGCTCCCCCCTCTCCCTGGGCCCTCCTTCTCAAGCGCGCCAGCCAAAGGAAAACCGAGCAACGTCGTAATCGAATCGAAGGAAATTCCCTTCCCGTGGATCCCTTCCCCGCCGAGGGGGGGGAGGGGAGGGGTCGCGGAGGGAGGCGTGGGGGGGGTGGGCCCGGGGATGGCTCACCTCGCTCTGGGACTCCACATGGCTCCAAGAGGCCTCCAGATAGCCACGGAGCTTCCCAAGGAGCACCCCAGGAGGCGAAATTCTATCCAAAACCGATATGGGTTGCTCTGCGGATGGCTTTCTCACCCTGTCACGTTCAATCGGCTCTTGAGGCCTCCAGATGGCTCCAAGATGGCCCAAGAGGGCCATCTGAGGCGCCCAGGAGGGCCCCAAGACGGCCCCGCGAGCGCCTGAGAGCGCCTCAACAGCGCGCCAAGCAAGCCCGCAGGGTCATGTTCGCACCCCGAAGGGGGAACGCACTCGGGGAACTGTCCTTCTGTGATCGATGGCCTCCAAGACGGCCCCAAAGACCTCCCAGGGTAGAGCCCCCAAGAGGCCCAGGAGATCTCCAGGTGAGGCCCCAGGAGGGCCTGCTCCTCCAAGATGGTCCCAAAGAAGCTCCGAAGCACACGCTGAGGAAAAGAGGGGGACGAATCAGCAACAACTAGACGCAGCCAGCACGACAGGAGTGCACACAACACACACACACACACACACACACACACGCACGCACCACGCACGCACACACACACACACACACACACAAACACACACACACACACACACGCACACACCTTGTTTGGCGTCGCGGCCCTGCGCGCAGCGTCAGGGCGTAGAAGGCACACACACACACACACACACGCCAACACACGCGCACACACACACACACACACACTCACACACACACACACACACGCGCGCGCGCGCGCGCACGCACACACACACACACACACGCACACGCACACGCACACGCACACGCACACACACACACACAAGCACGCACGCACGCACGCACGCACGCACGCACGCACAAACAAACAAACACACACACACACACACATACACACACAGATACGCGCTCACACATACACACACACACACACACACACACACACACACACACGCGAAATCGGAAGCCGCACGTACTATCCAATTCACGGGGGGGGGTCTCGAATCCAAAGCGGACACCTCTCCCTGTCAGTTCAGGAAGCAGGAGGCAAGGGGCTGGAGGAGGCTGGACGGAGGAGACAGGAGACGACGGCGCCGACGACGCCGCCGACGACGACGACGACGACGGCGACGGCGACGACGACACCGGCGGCGGCGAGCGTCATCGACAAACTGCCGCCACCGAAACCACCACGGCGGCGGCGGCGAGGCCCTCGAGAACGCGCGCCGCGGACCTCGGGGACGACGACGGGGAAGACGCCATCGACGACGACGGCGGCGGCGACGGTGACGGCGACAGCGACAACGGCGACGACGACGACGACGACAAAGAAGAATAAGAAGAAGAAGAAGAAGAAGAAAAAGGCATCGCTGGCGAAGACGACGGCGACGACGACGAGGAAAACGAAGAAGGCCTCGCTGGCGAAGACGACGACGGAGGCGGCGGCGGCGACGACGAAGGCGGCGGCGGCCGAGGCGGCGGCGGCGCGGCCGAGGCGAGGCGGCCGAGGCGAGGCGACCGAGCGCTCCCTGGCGCGGTCGAAGGCCACGGCCTCGAGGCCCGTCTCTGCCCGGAAAGCGGCGGCGTGCGCGGCCTCGCTGCGGCCGCCACCGCCGCCGCCACCGCCGCGGACGTCGTCGTCGTCGTCGTCGTCGTCGTCGTCGTCGTCGTCGTCGTCGTCGTCGTCGTCGTCGTCGTCGTCGTCGTCGACGGTCGTCGTCGTCGTCGTCGTCGTCGTCGGCGTCGGCGTCGGCGTCGGCGTCGGCGTCGGCGGCGTCGGCGTCGGCGTCGGCGTCGGCGTCGGCGTCGGCGTCGGCGTCGGCGTCGTCGTCGTCGTCGTCATCGTGGGCGGCGGCGGCGGCGGCGGCGGCGGCGGCGGCGACGGCGGCGGTTGCGGCGGCGGCGGCGGCGGCCCCAGTTGGCGTGAGGAGAGCGGGTCCTTGAGGCAACTGGGCCTAGACCCCTCCTGGGCGTCGCCCAGGACCAGCGCTTCGTCCCGAGTCAGAGGGGCTCTGGGAGGGCACTAGGAGCGCGAAAACGGAGGGATAACCTCCAGGCCCCACTCCTCTCGGAGCCCTGGAGCTTTCCCGGGGAGCAGCTTCTCGATGCGGAAGCCCTCAGGGACCGCCCCTTCACCCTCCACCCAGGACGCGCGCGCTCTTCGTCGCAGTCCCCACTTCTGGACCTCGAGCCTCTCCACGGCAGCGTGCTGACGAGACTGTCGGCGGGTATTCCCCCGGGCCGGCGGGAAGCCGCCTGCCGGGCCGAGAGCGGCCGCCGAAAAACGTTCGAGGCCCGCCCGGTGCGGAGGCTCGTCGGCCCTGTGGGCCTCTCTGGGGCGGCCCCTGCGCGGACGTGCCCCGCGCGGGAGGCATCCGTGGGATGGCGCACCCGTGGGACAGCGCCTCGGCCCCCAGGCCGCGAAGGCATGCATGCAGCGGAGGCCAGTCCACGAGAAGCCGTCCACGAGAAGCCCAGCCCTGAGGCCCCAGGACGCCCAAGGAATTCTGGTGTGGGAACGCCACGCTGTCCATAGTAGAACCATCGAGGCCCAAGAAACCCAGGGCACCCTGGAGGCGAGCAGGGTGTTTCTTGGCATGAGTCTCCACTGCAGGTGGTGTAGGCAGTTCTTGCTGCCCTCGTCCACAACCCCCGTCTTTCCCTTCGGGAAGGGGTTCACCCCCTTCCCCACCCGACCAGCAGCCAACCCGGACCCATGAGCCCACCCCACCCCCACCATCCCTGTCAAATAGCAATACAAGATACACTCTGCCTCCAAATCTGGAGCATGTGCGGACGCTCCGCGACCGCTTTGCATTGATTTTGGGTTGGGGCGACGGGGGCGCTGGCATAATTATGACCTGCGTTGTGCCTCGCAAACACCTCCCTACCATCCCTGCCAAAAAATGCCAAGTGCACTCTGCGGCAAAATCGCAGGTCATGTTCGCGGGGGCCGCGAGCATGTTGTTTCGTCTGTTGACAGGGACGGCACGGGTGCCAGCAGAAAACCTGCTGCGCGCAAGGCCACCATCCCTGTCAAAAAAGAACACACACACACACACACACACACACACACACACTGCACTTCTCGGCGAAACGTGGATCATGCGCAGGCACCCTGCGATCACGTCGCACTGGCTTCGGGCAGGAACGGCGGGGGCGCTGGCACGCTGCCTGCTGCGCGCAGGCCCACCAGACATTGTGATGGCCACTCCGCCGCACTTGCGCACTGGCTTTCGACACGGATGGTGGGGTGCGACGCAGTTCTCGACGTGCGCGGGCGCACCTGGCACACTCTGCGCGTGCCCCGAGCGCGGCGCACCTGGCGCGGCTGAAGCATGCGGCGCACTTGGTGCACGCGCGGCATGTGGCGCATCAGGCGCACCACATGTGCCGGGCACGCTCGGGCCTCAGGGGCACCTGGCGCGCCTGGTGCGCGTAGCGAGCCTGGCACGCGTGGCGCGGTTGGCACGCGTGGCACGCCTCGCCCCACCGTCGCACATTTAAAGTCTGTTTTGGTTACATACCAGTAGCTGCCCATCAAAAGATGACCGCTGAGTGTGCTGAAACTCGGGTACTACTTACGTGCCAAGAAGGCGGGTGGGAGTGAGCCAAACAGTTTGCGTCTGGAAGAGGTGTCTTGACCCCTCCCCCTGCCCACTCCCAGGGGTCCGCATGGGCGGGGGACGGAGGTGTCAGGGGGTCATTGTTCGACCAAGATGGCCCTAAGAAGGCCTCCGATGCTCCAAAATGGTTTCCCAGATGGCCCAAGATAGATGAGGATGGTTCAAGATAGTTTCCGACATCCCTCCAAGAGGCCACAGAATGGCCCAAGAGAGCCCCAAGAGGGGCCCAAGAGGCCCCCCAGATGGCCACAAAGCGCGCCCAAGAGCGCCCCAAGAACGCCCCAAGCGGGCCCCAAGAGACGGTCTTGAGGGCCCTTGAGGGGAGGGGGCCAAACGAAGGACCCCCCCCCCTTGGCCTCCAAGACCCTCCAGGGTCAGCCCCCAAGAAGGGCCCAAGAGGGCCCCAAGACCCCCCCAAAAGAGCCCCGAGGGAGCCCCAAGAGGGCCCCAAGAGAGCCCCAAGAGGACCCCCAGCGGCCCTCGAGAAGATCAGCTCCCACCGGCAGCGCTTCTGACTGGGCTGGTGCGGATACTTTTTAGTCAGCGGCCGCAGGCGAGAGCGCCAGCGGCGAGTCCAGTCAGAGCGGGGCGCGCAAAGACGAATTAACCTAAAGCCGTGGGCCGGAGCCTCGCGCAGCACCTCGGCGGGCAGGCCGGCGAGTGGAGGGGGGCTGGCTGCAACTGCTGGGAAGCTGCACTGCCACTGGTGCGGATACACGAGGCTTGAATATTTCCAGCATGCGGCAAGTGTGCCGCGCGGCGTGCCGTGCCGTGCTTGAGCGGGGACCAACCGTCCTGGCACTCCTATAGGCCTACCACGACATGTTCTTAGAACCCAAACATGTCTTGAGAACAAAAACCACGTTCTTAAACACAAAACCCATGTGTTCAAACAAGAGTCCCAGCCAGAAATGTTCAAAGAACATTCCGTGGAAACCACAAAAGGTTCTTAGAAAATTGTTTGATAGGCCTATAGGCGAGCCAGGACGCTTCGCCACTGCTTGACGTGCTGTGCTCAGCTTCTTGAGCCACTGACCACCCGCACCACGCACGCCCCCCTTGATGCTGACTCGGCGTGTGTCGTCGTCAGGCCTTCGAGCGATTGCTCGGCCCTGCCGGCAGCCGTACGGGACGACCCGGCCACCGCGAGAACGCGCCCGGCGAGACGCAGCCGCCGACCAGCATCCCGAGGCTAGAGAGCCGCCGACAACGGACGAGAACGCCCGAAAAGCCCGAAAAGCCCGACGACGACGACGAGGACGACGAGGACGACGACGACGACGACGACGACGACGACGACGACGACGACGACGACGACGACGAGGACGACGAGGACGACGAGGGCGACGACGACGACGACGACGACGACGGCGAAAACGCCCGAAGACCCCTTGTGATGTTTCGCTTGATGTTCAGCGGCGGCCTCGGCGCCGTCCGCGTCCCCGAGCAGCGCCGGGAGCCCCGCGACATCCTCGCTAGTGACCCAGAAGTCCGGCCACGCGGCGCCGGCGGGCACGAGGCCCTCGAGTGCGCGGCGAACCTCGGGCGCACGACGACGACGACGACCCGGTGACGACGACGACGACGGCGGCGGCGGCGACGGCGGCGGCGGCGACGACGACGGCGACGAAGCCGACGACGACGGCGACGAAGCCGACTACGATGACGACGGTGGCGACGGCGAGGGCGAGGGCGAGGGCGAGGGCGACGGCGACGACGACCAGCAGCAGCAGGACCATCTCCACCGCGACCCACGGGAGAAGAGATGCAGGAGGTCAGATTTATCCACGAAGGTGGCCCGCCCCTCGAGAACGCACGTCGGGCCACGGGGGAGCTTCGCACGCCCTGGGGCAACAGCCAAGGCTGATATATGATCGGCGCACAGCATGCAGGATGAGCGTAGCGACAAGACTCCAAGCCCAGACCTCCGACGACCTGATGTTTTCAATCGGTGCGATTTTCCTACGTACATTCGGCCCCAGGGCCTGTTGTCGAACACCAGGGCCACTGAATACGGATCTGGGACGCAAAACTGCCCCCGGGGAAGGGGTCGGGAGCTCTGGGGCCGCGGACAAAAATCATTCCAGCGGACGAGTGGACATGCGGAGGGCAAGGGGCATGTTCACGGATGATGCCACACTCATGTGACCTTTCCGCGGGGAATCGGCGGTGGACAAATCTCCCTTTAGTAGACCTCCCCTTACTGAAAACGGCCTGGGACCGAAACCGACGGACCTGGACCCGCAAAAATGACGGCCGCAACGCCCCCTCGCGAACCGAAAACGGCCAATTTCTTAATCGACGTGTCAGGGTAGGAGGTCTGTCCATCCCCGAGAGAAGTCTATTGCCCCGTCGCCCCTGTCATGAGTGGAGGCGATGCTTTGTCCGGCTCGGCCGAGCGGCACTCGCCACATCTCGAAAAAAAGCACAGCACTGCGCACATTCGTCGGGACAAGTGTGCAACAGCTTCAAGGATCGAGGGGGCTCCTTTTCAAAGTGTAGCTCTCGCATGAGCGCCGCGCACACTCGTCTCACAAGTTTGCAGCAGCTTCAAGGATGTAGGGCGGCTCCTTCTCCTAGCGTTGCTCTCGCCGTTCCTTGTTTCAAGTGTGCAAGAGCTTCCAGGACGGAAGGTGGGTCCTTTCCAAATTGTAGCTTTCGCCTTCGCACCGCGCACATTCGTCATAAAAAATCGCCACCGCTCCAAGGGTGGAAGACGGCTCCTTTGCGAAATATGGCTCTCGCCGTGGCGTTGTGCACTCTCGTCCCAAAATCTTGCGACCGATTCAAGGATTGACCGCACGTCGATTTTAAAAACAAGGCTCTCGCCTCAGTGCCGCGCACACCTGCACGCGACAGTCAGAAGGATGGAGGACTGCTCGTTTTCAAAATGGGATTCCCACCAGAGACGACTTTAGGTTTATAGAGACCCGAAGCTTCAGCACCTTTAGCACTGCACTGGTGCAGGGCGGCTCTTGTTCGAGATGGAACTCTCGCCTGAGCCTTCCTCGGAGTTCATGGCAACGCGCGTAGCTCGGGCAACAGTCAAATGGATGGTGGGCGGTCCTTCTTGGAGAGGAGGATCTCGATGGACACCTCGTTAGAATGGCTGGTCATAGTTTTTCGCTATTTGGTTACGCGCCAAAAAGATGCAAAGCACCTCCTTGTCACAGCGGGGCCCTGTCCAAAATGGCAGGCAAAACTGCGCTGGTCTTTCAAGGGGAGCGCTTCTTGGCAGTAGAACGGACAGCGTGTAGGGACATATGGGGAGAGGACTTAGGACGAGGGTGTATGGCAGCATCGCTGATGCATCATGGTGTTACGCTGGTCCTCCTCCTCCTCATCATCCAATCCCGCGTCTCACATCGTACCACAGGATGACG